TTATGAAATAAAAAAATAATTGCAGTTGATTTATCCTTTCTACCTTCATGGCCATGCCTTTCTACTCACATATGATTATCTTAATTAAGCCAAGATTTAAATTAGAGGGAGTTGTGGATGGAGGAGAGTTATCCAGAACTCTACTTCTGAAAAATTTTGAGGAATGTGAAGCAAAAAAGTCACAAGTGCAAGTTGTGCTGCTAAAAAGAGAATGGATCGTACATGTTAATGAATTTTAATTTTTTTTCAAAAATAAGGCTGAAACCATATTTCCAGTCACACACAAATCCCAACTCAAAAGTTGTTTTGGAGCAACCTAATCAAAATGATTTTTTGATTTTTGTTTGTTTGTGTTAAGCATGTAGCATCAATCACAAAGTATTTGTTGAGCTCCTTTTATATGATAAGAACTACCCTGTCCTAGAAATCTTAAGCATCAACCTCCTTCAAATCCACAGCTGCAATTTGTGCTCTTCCAAGTAGAACTGAAAGTCAAGCAAGTACAACAAAGGAGTTTACCAGAAATTACTTTCAGAAGCCAGATGCCATGTCAGCAAGCTCTTGCAGTGTGCACTTTAAGCCAGGCAATAGGTATTATTGGCAGCTGTATGAAACAATTTAAAAGTTTTCTGGGAGCTAGCAATACAAAGCTGGGATAATGTTGTAGCAAAATAAGAATTATTTTGTAAAGAACAAATCACATAAGATTAATTCAATGATGTTCAGAGACAGAATTTCGAATCTTCCCAGTAATGTAGGAACAGAAGCAGACAGGCCAAGCCAGATTATAGATGCTGAGATTGCTTTTGGAAGCTGCACTAACTATTTCAGACCACTAGGGTAATCTTAAGTAAATGACTACTTCAGTGTTCTCATAGCATTCAGTTTTCTAAAGCAGTAAATTACTCCAACTCTGAAATTCCCAAACTGTTTGAATAGCTGCAGCCCGTAGCAAACCAGCAGGGTTCTCTGTCCTCCAGCTCTTCCCTCTTCTGTCTCATTCTACGCTTACACAAATATCCTAAAACTAAGCATTAACATTTGCCAAGCGTTTTGAAAATAAAATGCTGCCTAGTACAGCTCTGTGGGTGGCTGACTTACTTCTCTTTGACTACAAAGAATGAGGCGGGAAAATCATACAAAACAAAACAAAACCAAACCCCTGCCAGTTTTGCCAAATAATCACCCACATGAGAGAAAAAAAATTCATACTTACTATTGTGGAATTAATTAATAGTAGAGATCACAAGAATTTTTTTGACAGGCTGTATAAAAATGTAGGAACATCTTTTGGGCCTTGCCTACTGTGCACTCATACCCTTGGCAGTGCTGGGGTTTGAACTCAGGCTTTGTATTGCTAGATAGGTGCTCTACCACTTGAGTCCACCCCCAGCCCTTTCTGCTTTGGTTATTATTGAGATAGGGTCTTCTTTTTCTGCCCAGGCTGGCATGGACTACAGTCCTCCTATTTATGCTTCCTGCAGAGCTGAGATGACAGGTGCTACCCTCCCCAACTTTTTGTTGACTGAGATGGGATCTTCTGAACTTTTTTGCCCTGGCTGGCCTGAAACTATGCTCTTTCTGATCTCTGCATCTCATGTAGGACTACAGACGTCAGCCACAGTGTCTGGCCTGTGCACATACACTCTTACATCACTTCTTTACACCTCCTTATTCCACAGAGCAAAAATGTTTCACAGCATAAATGTACTCTTTATTAAACTGGCTCATATTCATGAGTTTTATTAATAATCAGGCAGACTTCTATGTTAGCAAAGTGTGTCTACATATGAGAGCACTTTTATTTTGTGAGGTTAGGTTCCTAAGAAAGAGGGAAAGAGATGTGGTCTCTCCTTTACAATGGAATATACACAGCGCCTCTCCCTTCTGTTAAAGCAGCCTTCTAACCAAGTGACTTAGAAAATGTTTGATAATTAGTTACATAAGAATAGCTAATAGCATTTCATAAATATTTTTTCAATTTAGGAATTAACACTAAAAAAGTGGATGAGGGATTTTTGTACCCACAGCCTAGCGGTTATGGAAATCAATGAAATTCAGTATTTAGCAGATACTATTTCTGTCAAAGTCTGACCATGGCTCTGATTCAAACAGCAATTACTGGTAAAGAATTTAGCCTCAACTATTTAGAAAGTGGCCTTATTGAATTTATAAACAAGGCCTTACAATTTTCCATTTCCTTAGTAAGATATTAAATCAACCAAGCTAAGCATGTCATCATGACTATAATTTACGTGATGTGACATGACAGTTAAGATGTACTGTGGTAATTTCTGAGAGCTTGCAGTATTATTGTAGTATCAAAAATTTATATGGTTCAGTTATTAAGGCAAATTGTTTCATTCATACTGAGATGTCTGACAGCAAACCACCGAGGGCTTCCACATTACATTAAAAAATGTCTTCCATATTCAAACAATTTGCACACCCCGTTACCATCACTTTGTTCACTGAATGGAAACTTGAGCACAGGCAAGTACAGCTTTTTGATGCAAAAATGACCGGTGAGAAAATGTGAAGTGATTCTTTGTGGGTGGTTGTAAGAAAGCTCAGCCAGCATAAAGGAAGTTATCTTTGGGAAGCAACAACCACGAACAGGATGTCCAAATCCTTTGCTCTGGTGCTATCTAATACCCTGTTTGCTCACTTTCCTTCTGTCGGCTTGATTTTCAGCCAACAGATAAAAAAGCATATGACCAAAGAAGAAATGATGGAAAATATGGTAATTTCTAATGTCAGCCTTCTTTAAATACATTTTTGCCTTGGAATAAAAAATAAAACCTCTAAAACTCATCTAATTTTGACCCAAGTCTCTTCTTAGAGTTACTCTGAGCAGTAATAGAAAAGAAACAACAAGTTATTTTTTTCATGTTTTTGGCAATGTTAAGCAGTAGAAATTCAAGTCTTATGTGCAATTTTATTCTTGTTGAGAATATAGGATGTTTCTAAATAGAATAGAATAAAATGACTTCTTGTTGTAAAGGGCCTTGCAAATAAAAGTTTAATTAGATTTTTTATTGCAGCTATTGAATTTTATGCAACATATGCTGTCTCTTTTAAAATACATGTTCATTGAAAACCTGTTTTATTCATTTACACAGTTTTTTGTAATAGTATTTAGAAGTCTGTTAAAAATAAGAACCTAGCCATGAGTTAAAATGTTTCAATCAACTGAAGCTACCAGTTCCCACCTAGTAGCCTATGATGACTGTTTTTCTATTTTAATACACAAATGTCACTCAAGAGAACTAATAACTACAAATATACTTTGTTTAATTGATGAAGGTTCCTTCAAGAGTAACAATATATTCATATCGGTAACATTGAAAATGCATCATTTTACGGTTTTTTTTCATCACAGCTTATGGTGTAATGAGGTAATTCCAGGAAGTGGGGACAAGAGGATTCTGGTTCAAGGCTAGTGCAGGGAAGAAGTCAGTAAGATCCTATATCGAAAACAAGTTAGGCATGGTGGTACATACCTGTAATCCCACCTACACAAGAGACAGAGATAGGAGGATTGGGTCCAAGGCAAACCCAAGAAAAAGCATGAAACCCTGTCACAAAAACAAGCCTGGAGTGGTGGTGCACACCTGTAATTCCAGCTATTTGAGTGGCAGAGGTAAGAGAGTCATGGTCTAAGTACAGCCTGGACTAAAGTGTGAGAGCCTATCTCAAAAATCCAGTCAAGTATGGTGGTTCATGCCTGTAACTCCAGCTACTCTGTAGGTGGAGGCAAAAGGATTGCAATCTGAGGACACCCTGGGCAAAAGCACAAAACCCTATTTCAAAAATAAATTTAAAAAATAGATACATATATACATAAATAAATAAATAAGCAAATTGGCTAAAGCAAAAATGTTGGGGGTACAGCTCAAGTGGTAGAGCACTTGCCTAGTAAGCATGAAGCCCTGAGTTCAAAGCTCAGTACTACTAAAATAATGACAATAATAGTAATAATGATAATGTAATTTAATGAAAGTATAAAATAAAATAAAAATAATAATGTAATAAAAATAAAAAATGAAGACACTGAATTTAGTTTTCAATAAGTATTAGGCAAAATAAAATAATACTCTAAATGCTGAGGCACTTGTCTTGAGAGACTTAATCCATGACAAGGGACAAAAACCTTAAAAACTACTAAGTCTGCATTTCTGAAATTGCAGCACTTGTTCATTGTGTGTGTCGGTGTACATCTTTATACATATGTGAACAGCTTCAAAACAACATTGCTTTCACTCTGGCATGTTCAGGGCAGTTCTCTGTCTGAAACTGGGAAACAGGTTGTTTATGATATGCTTCATGGAAAGCATCAACTCAGATTATTCAATACATTTCTTTTCCAATTATCATTCATACTAGGTAGAAAAACAGTAGCTGCCACACAGATCAGTTTTGAAATGTAATAAAAACAAGTGAGGAAAACTACGAAGTATCTCCCAAGATCGCTCTAAAAATCAGGTATCTTCACAGCACAATTTCTTCCAACACCTATAAGGTTTTATGAAAATAACCTAGAGTTTTAATTAATTTACTTATTCATTCAAAAAGTTTAGACATAACTCCAACTGTATCAAGAACGGAGATGTCACAGTCCATCAATGGCTGGTTTGTTTTGTTTTTCTGCTGTACTGGGCCCCTGTTTGTGTTAGGTATTTTTAAGATAGGGTCTTGAGAAATTTTTTTGCCTGGGCTGGCTTTGAACTGTGATCCTCCTGATCTCTGCCTCCTGAATAGATAGGATTACAGGTGTGAGCCCCTGGTGCCCAGCCCATTAATATCTTTTATGCATACTTCATTCATTTGATCTGGGAGAAATGTCCAACTTGATCAAATTTAACTGGTTCTGGCAATCTACTACATCACTACATTACACATTTGATTTCATCTTTCTTTGAGAAATGCTAAATAAAACCCACTCTCATGATGGGTGAATGAAAGCAGAGTAGCAAGAACCATGCACCATATGGACTTACTTTGTTTCCCAAGTACAGAGCTGGCGCACTCCAGTAGTAGTTGTCTGGAAGGGCTCTCCTGGCTTCCGTGTTACTGATGCTGATCTGGTGGGGTGAGTCTGAGTTGTCCTGATGGGGAGCTACTTGAATGTGGCCAGAGATGTCAGTCAAATACCAACCACGCATCTTGTATCTTAGAGAAAACACACAATCATCAATTAAGACAAAGAAAAAAAACTATCAGCTTTTTTTCTCTTTCACATTCTTTGTACTTTCCATCTTTGAGAAAGTAAACGAAATACTATAAACACTTAGAAAAACATGAGAGCTGTGGACATAATCAAATTTATCATATGTACTCATACAGACACCCATTATTTAATTTTTGTTTTGATGTTTCTAAGAGTTTTGATGGCACTATAGAAGAATGCTTTTATTGATCCTGTACTTCTAAAAAATGATTGTAATTCTAAGTACTATTTTTTAAAAATAAAAATTCATTCAAAGTTATACAAAGGTTATAGTGTTATAATGTACATAAAGTTATAAAAGGGTTATGATACATGAAACAATGGCACTCAGAATTTCTTGTTTTTCACCTCACTAATAATTTCTTATTGCTTAAGGAGACAAAATATTTCAAAGGCATTGCATAAGCAGAGGAAGAAAAGAAATAAAATATGCAATTACCTGAAAGGTAGCTTTTCATTCAATATTTCCTCTCCTCCTCCTTTTGAAAATTTCTACTTTGAGGCTTAAGGACATTTGAATCCACCAGCCTGTTGCTATGACAACAACCCACAATACCCTATGTATTCCTTTTCATAGTGTTGAATGCTATACAGACCCATAACCTAGATCCCTGACCCCAAAAAAGGTAACCTTAAAGGAAGAATAGAAGGATGCATGGTTATACTCCAGCCACAGAGGCTCACAGCTATTCTTCAAGTATAAACCATCCTATCTTGTGAGGACAAACCAGCATTTACTGAGGTTTCATGCTATGGGTTTAGGAGCCTTCTAGACAGGTATGACTTGTTTGATTTTATGGATGATGGTGTGCAGAATGGTAACGGTGACAATGTGTGACTGAAATATTTTTTTAATATCTTCATTTAGAGACTTTTTAATTCTGCTTGTCCCAAAGCTGTGGAATAGCTAGGACTACTTTGATCAAAAGGAAAACAGAAATTAGACAAAGATCCATTGGCTAGCTAGATAATTAGTAATGCATTTCTTCTTTTTCTCTTTCCATCATCACCTGAAGACAATTGAGTGGGATTCAGTGGATCTAGGTTTGGAAGACCAAAGTCTACAAGTCACCAGTTCTGTTCCTTTGCTAGATATAAGACTGTAATGACCAATACAACTGTCAGAAGGGAGGGATGGGACTCTATAAACAAAAGGAGTGTTAGGCTAGATGCCCATTTGCTGTTGATTCTTTGAAGTATGCTTTGAAAGCAAAACACTGGATAATGTATACATAGATTCAAACTTAGACATGAAAGTATTATCAGAAATGACTTATTTGAAATGACTTAAAAGCAATATAGGCAGAAAAAATATTTGATGTTGTGTTCTGAATTAGTTAGCTGATCAAAGCTTAAAGGAAGAAGTGTTTGGGGGCAAGTTTATCAAAACAGCAGTCATTGTAAAGCACAGACCTGATCATGTCATTCTGTTGCTCACAATCCATCAGTAATTCTCCTTGTAGAACATCCCAACATATTGGCATACTCAACCCTACAAAGTCTAGGCTCCTATTAACCCTCCTGGTTTCTTTTTCTTTAACCTGCTTCTGAAACTGTATGCTGAAGTCCAACTAAATAGACTATGTAGAATTCCCCATAGGTCCCATTTTCCTCTCACATCTCTTCTACAGAGGAACAAACCACTCTCAGCATACAGAAGCCATGGAGAGTATGGAGGGCAGTAGAGGTAGAAAGATAAGAATACTTATGTGAGAGGAAGGCAAAACCAATAAATAGGTCAAAATTCAAAAATTTTCAAGTCAATGAAGAGTGAAGGTATTGTTCAAATTCAGTATCCTTCTCAATAATGAAAGAGCCCAAGAAACATTACATAGTAAAAGGCTGATGGGTAATATGTATTAAGTATATAAATTATGAAAGAGTTTTTCTTAATGTATATATAATATGTATTGGTGGATAGAAAATGTAATTTTTATACCACAATCTCATGTTTTCTCTTTTACATCATGTGCTGTTAAAGTTGAAAAAATAAAAATTTCATTTTTATTTCACATAGTAATGTTGAACACTGGCAAGACTAGTATCTACAGATTCTAAGAGGTTCCTCTCCACACTATTACAAATAAAACCTAATGGCTGTGAGCAAAGATACACAAAAAGTGTTTGAAAAAAATTCCATCCTATTTGACTTTAAATAGAAGCTCACTATAACAATTTATTTTTCAATTTCTTACAAAAGAACAGCAGCAGGGGCAACAAATAAGGCCCATGGGCAGCACACAAAATTAAATGAAGGTTCTTACATTGCCATAAGTCCAGTAGGAACTCTGACATCTGTTTGAGACCCCTGAACAGAAGCACTCATCACAGCCTTTTGGATTATTCTCTTGCAAGTTGAAGAAGCCAGATTTGCAACGACTACAGTCTCCTCCTTCAACGTTCTCCTGTAAGCAGAGGGACAGGTTAGCAACAAACAGAGGCATACTTCAAAATCAAGAGTCACATCTGTGTCTGTGTAGGAAAAATATTAACTGTACATTCTTCATTTTGCCTTCTCAACCATATTTAAAGTGTAATTATGTAATGATAAACATCTGCCCAAAAGCTTCATGATAAACTATATCCTTTCTAACCATACTGTGGGGAAGATTATTGAATGTTAATCAACTGGAATCAAAGCTATGATTTTGATCTTCATGTATATTAATAACACAGAGGAAATGTCATGATAAATATAAAAGTATATTAGTCTGACTAAAATGGGGCCAATTAGGTTTACCATTCTTTGTTATTGAGCAACTTCATCTTCAAACATGATAAATAATGAAGCCAAGGCCATTAAACTAATACATAGACATACAATGGAACATTTATAGTATAGCAATTGTTAAATATTTTTCATAACACAGGTTAAAAATACATGGATTTGAGGCAAGCGTATGCATCTGACATGTACGGGAACTGGAGCAAATCATTGTAGCATTTCCCTCATCACAATAAGTAGAAAGTGGAGGATTCCAAGATGGTGGCTAGAGGGAGGAAGCAGAAAGCAAGCCTCCTATAGTGAAATCTTGGAGAGATGCTGGAGACACACTTTGCAGGCAAAATCACTGAAAAGAGGCAAAACTTTGACCCCTCCACACCTCCAGCCAGCGCAGAGAATCTCCACTTCACATTAAACGGAGAAACAAGGAGGGCCCCCGGGCCACCAGACGCCTGCGCCCAGATAGCTTGGGAAGATGTGGACAAGGTGAGCTTCGCAGTACCGCAGTACTCCCACAGACAACCCTGGGCCAGAGCAGCATAGCCCCCTGGACAGACCGACCTCCATCCGGGGAAAAAAGAGAAACTGAGTAATAAGCAATAAGAACAATAAAGACACGCGGGAAAGAGGGTGGGGCACACTGAGCACTGAAGATTGGAGGAAGGGAATCCTTCCCAGGACTGTAAATAAACAAGTCAGGTGGGTGGGAGAGGCTCCGATGGGAGCAGGGGCACACACCCAGCAACCAGGAGTGGGAAAGCATGTGAGAGTGGTGGATGGAGGAAAACTACACAGGAGAGAAGGGAAGACCCACTTCCCACGTGAGCTGTAAACAAACATGGCGGCTGGAAGGAGCAGCAGCACTGCCCAGTAATCAGGAGCTGGAAAGCTTGTAAAAGTGGAAGTGGGATGAAAACTGCACAGGAGAGGGGGGAAGACCCACCTCCCACATGAACTGTAAATAAACACGCAGGCCTGAGAAAGCGAGTGCAGTGACACCTCCCCCAGTGTGCTTGGAAAGGGGAAAGCTTGTAGCAGAGGCTCGCACAGGAGAAATTTGAGTAAACAAACCCTGCAGGGCCAGGTGAGTGCTAAGCTCACCCCAGAGATCTGCATAAACAACACTTCCAGCAACAGCAGGCTGACAGCAGTGGGCAGGCAAGCCACAGCCACAGATACCATTCTCAGAACTGTCTCCACACTCTTTTTTTTTTCTCTTTTTCTCCCTACCTTTGATGAGAGAACAACCGAATTACACCTGCATGCTGAAAAACTTACTGAAACTGTATTGCATTTGAACTTGGTTCACTTGGTGGAGTTTTGTGTGTGTGTGTGTGTGTGTGTGTGTGTGTGTGTGTGTAGTTTTGTTCTACTTTATGCGTCCCCTTTGATGAAACAACTACAGAACAACATCTGAGGCACCATCTCCAGGATTGGAGACTGAGATGGACACCCAAATTATTAAGACTGAAACTTCATTGCATTTGAACTTGGAGGTTTTTTGGTTTTTTGGTTTTTTTTTTTTAATTTTCTATTTTTCATTTTATTTTAATATATAGATATTTCTTTCATTTACTTATTTTTTATTTTTATTCTTATCTTTTTTTTTATTTTTTATTTTCAATACTCTCTCTGTCTCTCTAATGCCTGTTCAGCTTACTGTCAATTAGTACACTAAAGCTCCCTGTTTATATATTTGAAACTTTCTTGTTTGATTCCTTGTTCTGTTTTCTCCTTCTTGTCTATTTGTTTTTCCCTTTTCTTTAACTTCTTGCTTTCCATCTCTGCTCACCCTTCCATTCTAAATATTACCATTGTTATTATTACAAGCTATAAAATACTTAATTGCACACAGTACAGGGACAGTAACAACACCAAAGACAATGATGGGAAGACAGAAAAAACAGGGAAACCAGTTTCCCCACAGCAAAAAATTAGTACAGGAACCAGAGGGGAATGAAGAAAACAGATACTCAGATCCAGACTCCAACAAAATGAAGATAAACTATGCCAAAGGACCCGACGAGGCCCACAAGAATAATTTAAAAGAAGACATGCTACAAGTACTCAATGAGAATTTTATAGAGATGATACTGAATATGGTCAACCAAAATGTACAGGAGACACTCAAGAAATTCCAAGACAACAAAAATAGAGAAGTTGAAAAAGCAAAAGAAGAAATAAAGGAAACCATAGAAGCACTGTATAAACACCAAAGTGAAACAGAGAACACGATGAATAAACAGATAAATGAACTCAGGACAAAAATAGACAACATTAAAGAGGAAACCACCCAGGATATGGAAAACCTCAGAAAAAAGAACGAAACAGAACTGCAAAACAAAATGGAAGGCCAATCCAGCAGAATAGAACAAACAGAAGACAGAATCTCAGAACGTGAAGATGAAATGGTAATTAAAGGAAAAACCAAAGGCCTATTAATTAAACAACTCAAGACCTGTGAAAAGAAAATGCAAGAACTCACTGACTGCATCAAAAGACCAAACTTGAAAATCATGGGCATCGAAGAAGGAGAAGAGGTGCAAGCGAAGGAAATGCGTAATATATTCAACAAAATAATAACAGAAAATTTCCCAACTCTAGAGAAAGATATTCCCACAGAGATGCAAGAGGCCTCCAGAACACCAAACAGACCAGATCAAAATAGAACTACCCCACACATACTATCATAAAGCAAGAAGAACATGGGGTGAGATATTCTGGGCACTGAATGAAAATAACTTCAACCCCAGGATACTCTACCCAGCAAAACTATCATTCAAAATAGATGGAGCAATAAAAGTCTTCCATGATAAGCAGAAACTAAAACAATATGTGACCACAAAGCCACCACTACAAAAGATTCTACAAGGGATTCTGCACACTGAAAGTGAAACCCAACTTAACCATGAAAAGACAGGCAGCACCAAACCACAGGAAAAGAAAAAGCAAGACAGTAAAGAGTAACCTCAACTTAGGTACACACAATCAAACCTTCAAACAACTAAGACAACTATATGACAGGAATCACCACATACCTATCAGTACTAACGCTTAATGTTAACAGATTTAATTCACCCATCAACAGGCACCGCTTGACGAAATGGATTAAAAGAGAAGATCCAACAATTTGTTGCTTACAGGAGACCCATCTCACTGACAGAAATAAGCATAGGCTTAGGATGAAAGGCTGGAAGAAGATTTACCAAGCCAATGGCCCCCAAAAACAGACAGGAGTAGCAATACTTATCTCTGACAAAGTAGACTTCAAACCTACATTGATCAAACGAGATAAAGAAAAACATTCCATACTAATAAAAGGGGAAATAGACCAAAAGGAAATAATAATCATCAACCTGTATGCACCCAATGTCAACGCACCCAATTTCATCAAACATACCCTGAAAGACCTAAAAACATATATTAACGCCAACACAGTGGCTGTGGGAGACTTTAACACCCAATTATCATCAATAGATAGGTCATCCAAACAAAAAATCAATAAAGAAATCCAAGATCTAAAATATACAATAGATCAAATGGACCTAGTTGATGTCTACAGAACATTTCATCCAACCTCTACACAATATACATTCTTCTCAGCAGCCCATGGAACCTTCTCCAAAATAGATCATATGCTAGGGCACAAAGCAAGTCTCAGCAAATATAAGAAAATAGAAATTATACTGTGCATACTATCTGATCACAATGCAGTAAAAGTAGAACTCAACAATAAAAGTAGACAAAAAACATGCAAATAGCTGGAAACTGAAAAACTCATTACTTAATGAACAATGGGTCATTGATGAAATAAAAGAGGAAATTAAAAAGTTCCTGGAAGTCAATGAAAATGAAAACACAACCTACCGGAACCTATGGGACACAGCTAAGGCAATCCTGAGAGGAAAGTTTATATCCATGAGTGCATATATTAAAAAGACTGAAAGATCCCAAATCAATGACCTAATGATACATCTCAAACTCCCAGAAAAACAAGAACAAGCAAATCCCAAAACAAATAGAAGGAGAGAAATAATAAAAATAAGAGCTGAAATCAATGAAATAGAAACCAAAAAACCATACAAAGAATTAATGAAACAAAAAGTTGGTTCTTTGAAAAAATAAACAAGATCGATAGACCCCTGGCAAACCTGACTAAAATGAGGAGAGAAAAAACCCAAATTAGTAGAATCAGGAATGCAAAAGGGGAGATAACAACAAACACCATGGAAGTCCAGGAAATCATCAGAGACTACTTCGAGAACCTATATTCAAATAAATTTGAAAATCTTAAAGAAATGGACAGATTTCTAGATACATATGATCATCCAAAACTGAACCAAGAGGAAATTAATCACCTGAATAGATCTATAACACAAAATGAAATTGAAGCAGCAATCAAGAGTCTCCCCAAAAAGAAAAGTCCAGGACCTGATGGATTCTCTGCTGAATTCTATCAGACCTTTAAAGAAGAACTGATACCAACCCTCCTTAAACTGTTCCACGAAATAGAAAGGGAAGGAAACTGCCAAACACATTTTATGAAGCCAGTATTACACTTATCCAAAACCAGGCAAAGACACCTCCAAAAAGGAGAACTATAGGCCAATCTCCTTAATGAACATTGATGCAAAAATCCTCAACAAAATAATGGCAAACCGAATTCAACAACACATCAAA